GCTTGAAAGATTTTTGGTACTATTTTCCTTTTGAGCCACACCCACTAGTGCTGGGGGCTACAGCAGCTCTGTCTCAGGGGCCGCTCCTGGTGTGCTGGGGTGAGCTTGAGTCCCCGACCCCCCAAGCATGTATTTAGTCCATTGAGCTATCTCTAGCCCAACAAAATTATTATTTTTTTTTTTTGTGGGGGGGATGCTGCTACTGTGTCTCTCCATGTCCTTGGACCATGTGAACAGGAACTGGTGATTTGGCCTGCCTTCCTCTTACCTAGGGAGACAGATGACCGTGTGTGAGCGAACTCTGCGGTGTTCATATCCTCTCCTCCCTTGGTCTTCGAAGCTCAGAGTGCAGGAAGAGAGTCCTGCTTCCCCGGGACCCAGTTTGAAGACTGTTTTCTTCTTTGTCAAACCTATGCCTTAATAGGAGCTGGAGTGATAGTTCAGCGGGTAGGGCATTTGCCTTAATGCCTCCGACCCGGATTCAATCCCAGAGCACTGCCAGGAATGGGACCTGAGTGCTAAAGCCAGGAGTAAGCCTTGAACACCAACTGTGCCCCCACAAAACAAACAAACAAACAACCCCATGCCTTGATAAAGTGCTTCATTTTATCAGCCAACCCTGAAACACTTGGCTTGTTGTTTCCCCTGGAGAACTATATTTGGTTTATGCCCTGAAAGGTCACAGTTAAAGCAGAATCTCAGTGTTCAGAAATGGCAGTGTTGAGGTACTGTGGGGACCTGCTGGAGGTGTGCTCTCCTTTTGTCGGCCTGGGGTCAAGTTGCGTGTTCACGTGTCTATGTGTGGCTTCGTGTGCAGCGTGTAGCATCCGTACTTATCCAGGGTATTTGCTTTGTCTTATAAAAATCAAACTAATTTGTGTTTGGAGTTTTGGCAGCCAGTAGTGTATTAATAGTTTAAGTAATGTGGTTACAGTAGCATCCATACACAAGTGTGTGGGATTGAAGTACAGAGTCACTGTAGCCCACCCCCACTGCTGCCCCATGGCTGCCCCGCGTCGCCTGCAGTCCAGTATTCCTTCCCCTTCTCCTTTTCTCTCACTGCTTGGGAATACAAGGCCAGGGGTTTGTTGTTGTTCAATACAGTATTCGCTTGGTTTTTGTCTCTGTAGTCCATAGATCATCTGGTATTTGTCCTTCCTCTGACTTAATTTGCTCAGCATAAAACCCTGCCAGAGCCAGAGTGATGGGACAACAGGTAGGGCATTTTGTGGGGTAGGCTGACCCAGGTTCATTCCCCGGCTTTCCAGAGGGTCCCTCAAGCCCGCCGGTAGTGATTCTGAGTACAAAGCAAGGAGTAACCCCTGGGCAGCATGGGGTGTGGCCCAAAAACCAAAACCATAATACCTTCCAGTTACGTTGCAGTGAAATGTATTTCATCTTTTCTTTTTTTTTTTTTTTTTTTTTTTTTTTTTTCCCCCCTTTATTTTATTTTATTTTTTTTAAAGTTGTAGATTTACAATTTTTTGTGCTTTGGTTTCAATTATACAATGATCAGATACCCATCCCTCCACCAGTGCCCATTTTCCACCACCATGGATAATATCCCTCCCACCCCCATCCCCCCATCCCCCCGTCTCTGTGGCAGGGCAATCCCCTGTGTTCTCTCTCTCCTTTTGGGTGTTGTGGTCTGCAAAAGAGGCATTGAGTGGCAAACATGTTCAGTCCATAGTCTACTTTCGACATGCATCTCCCCTCCTGGGAGGATCCTACAAACATCCTTTATTTGGTGCTCCCTTCTCTATCTGAATAGCCCTTTCCTCTAGGATATCCGGCTGGCCTCTAAGTTATGGAGTAATCCTCCTGGTGCTGATCTCAGCTAATCTTGGGTATTAATCTCATACTTTGTTACTTTATATCCCCCAGATGAATGCAATCTTTCTATGTCTATCCCGCTCTTTCTGACTCATTTCGCTTAGCATGATACTTTCCATATTGTACCACTTGTATGTAAATTTCATGACTTCATCTTTTCTAAGAGCTACATAGTACTCCATTGTGTAGATGTACCAAAGTTTCTTTAACCAGTCAAAAATATGGAACGCTTCACGAATTTGCGTGTCATCCTTGCGCAGGGGCCATGCTAATCTTCTCTGTATCGTTCCAATTTTAGTATATGTGCTGCCGAAGCGAGCACTTCATCTTTTCTTAAAGCAGCATAGTATTCCATTTTGTATGTATGTCACAGCAGTGTCAGTCATCTATATTCTGGCTAGTGAACTGAGTGCTGCAGTACTAAAACTCGTTTCTCTTGCTTTCGTGGTGCTAGGAATTGAATCAAGGAGCCTCACATACAAGGGCAGTAGTTGTTTGCCACATAGTCGGCTTTCTTTTGATCAGTTTCTGCTCACTCCACTAGAGGGCAGTCAAAGAAGAGGCTTGAAGGAGAACTCAGACCATTCTTTTCTTTCTCATTTTTGGCTTTAATCCCAAATTTTATTCAGTGACTCATCCAAAACATTCCTGATGAATAAACTTTAATCTTCATTTCCTCCTCTTTTTCATTCTTGTTAATCTGGAATAATGCAGCTCCGTAAGTGTTTGTGACTACGCACAAACAATCTCAATTGACTATTAGTTTCCATTGTTTTTTGAGATATTTAAAATGTTTTGAGGTTGGAGAGACTTCGGGAATTGAGGCTCTCACCTTGCATGCAGTTGACCCTGGTTTGCATTGCATATGGTTCTTTAGTACCTCCAGGAGTGCCTGTTAGCATAGAGGCAGGAATACCAGGTGTGGCCCACACCTCTACCTCCCCTCAAAAGAAGAACCAACTTCTGTAGAAGGCACCTTGAAAGAAACAATGCGCCTGCTTCTTGCTCCATTCAGTGGTCACAGCCCCTCTATCAGTATTCTGCTTTTCTCACTCACTTTTATTCTCTCCTAAAGAAAATGCTCAAACTGGAATCGCAGATACTGCAGTTTTCTACAGGGCAGGTGCGACAAAGCATGGACTTCTGAAACTTCATTTTCTTTCTTCTTTCCTTTTGCCCCCTTGACCGTATTTCTTTCAAGGGTGCCCTGGTGGCAGTGGAGGCAGAAAGGTGGTTGGGACAGAACACACAAGGGTCAGGCAGTCTCAACCTGTTGCTTCGTTGTCCAATGCTGGAAATAGGGCCCAGGGCTCAGGCAGAAAGTGTACTCTGCCTCTGAGCCACCTCGGCCCATTCCCTTCCCAAAGCACACCAGCTCTTCAGCTCAAAGGAAAGTTGGGCAGTACCCATGGCGAGGTCTGCTAGAGTCTGGGCTCCCCTGTGAGAACACAGAAAGTTCTCCTATAAAGTGAAGGTCTTGGGAAGGGGGTTGGACGACCCAGTGGTACTTAGGGCTAACCCCAGCTCGTGCTTCCTGGAGGGTCATGCTATGCTGGGGGTGCTCCCAGCTTCTGCTGTGCCAAGCTCCAGTGCCAGCCCCTTCGCAGCATTAAGGTCTTAAGAGCTTCCAGTTCTTGCCTATAAAGCTGTGGTAGATATTAACATTTATCCCCCTAGGTGCTAGCACAGTAGCTGATTTAAAATAGTTAATTTCCCCCTTAAATAGAAACGTGTGTTACCTTTGACTGTTTTTTAAATTTTTTGTTTGTTTGTTTTGCTTTTTGGGTCACACCTGGCAACGCACAGGGGTTACTCTTGGTTCTGCACTCAGGAGTTACCCCTGGCGGTGGTCGGGGAACCATATGGGATGCTGGGAATCAAACCCAGGTTGGCCGCGTGCAAGGCAAATGCCCTACCTGCTGTGCTATCTCTCCAGCCCCCAAATTTGTTTTATTTTTATGAAGTTGTTCATGATTTATTACATTCGATATTCCAACACCCAATTCCACCACCATTGCCCACCACCATTATTTACAGTTTCCAACCATTCCTCAAACCTGCCCCTATAGCGGGCCCTGAATAATTTGTTTTATGTTACTTGTTGTGATTAGCTAAAAATTACCAAAAAATATTTCCTTAGAAGAAAGTGTGATGTTGTATCTCATCATGGAGCCATTTAAGCCCTTAGGGAAGAAATTATTATTAACGTTACAGTTTAAGCCTTGTGTCTCTATATGTTCTTGAGATTGATAGTCTTTTACATCCCAACCAACGTGGTGTTTTCTCTCCTGATTTATCAGTGGTATAGAGTTTGAGATGTTCTGGATTTTGAATGGGATAATATGCTGGAGTTAAATTTTTAATTGGATGGTGACTGTGGGTGCCCTGATGACAGATCCTTACGTGGAGTCTGGAAGTATCTCTGCAGCTTTCTGATCTCTTTCGAGATTTATTTATGAGTCTCAGATCATGGCTGGTTAATGAGCTTATTTGGCACCAGAGGCAGTTCATCAGTGACTGCCAGTCTTCCAAAAGAACAGGGAGATGGGAGGAAGTAGTCCATGCCTGACTCTGTGAGAGCCTGGAGTTTTCGGTCACAAAATCCGCAGTATCTTTGACTCTTAACAATCCCTTCCTGTCGAGTAGAATCCCACACTCTGCAGTGTCTCTTCTGTTTGTTTTTGTTCTTGTTTCTGGGAACTACACACAGCGATGCTCAGGGGTTACATCAGTTCTGCGCTCTGGAATTACTCCTGGTGGTGCTCTGGGGACCATATAGAATACTGGAGATCAAGCCCTAGTCTAGCCACGTGCAAGGCAAGCGCCCTACTCATTGTACTGTCCCTCTCTGCTGTTTCCTTCCTAGCTGGCCCTTAGCCTGGCCTGTAATCTTGTTTGTGTTTCTGTCTCAGGGTCTCCCTTCCCTTCCCACTCCAAAGCCTTATCCCTAGCTTCACCACAGTGTCTCCCGTGGCAGGTACTCATTTAGTCTTAGAAGAAAGGAATATTTTTCAGAAATAGCAACAGTTCGGTTATACTGTATGTATTAGGCTTGGTTCTGGTGACTCATCCCAGTCTTTTTTTGGTCTCCCAGCTTCAGCTTAGGGCCTGGCTGTTGGGGAGCAGCAGGTGTGTGCTTTCCTGACTCTTTCTTCTTCCTACCCTAGCTTGCAAGCAAAGCACGGACAGAGAAGGAGGAGAAGCTGAGCCAGGCCTATGCAATCAGCGCTGGGGTCTCCCTAGAGGGCCAGCAGCTCTTCCAGACCATTCACAAAACGTGAGTTGGGGAGGCATGGGGGCTCTTAGCTCTGGGGGGTGGACCGGCCTGACTCTCGCCTGGCAGGAGACACACGTTGCCTCTTCATCTGGAAGAATGGGAGGTGTGGACAAGTTGTCTCCTTTGCCCTTTAGGCTTTTTGTCTGTAAGGCTCAGTTTGTAGGGACTCGGGATATAGTTCAGTGATAAAAGTACATGTTTCAAATATGTAAGTCCCTGGGTTTGATCCCCGGCAGCCTCCAAGAAACAGCAGCAAAAACAAAGTTTGGGATTTCCTTATTTCTAAAGGTCCCGTCTAGTGTTCAGTAATTTAGAACCAGTGATCTTTTTTTCCTTTCTCTTATATTGTTTGGTTCTTATTGTACCTCGCCCTGAAAGCTGATGTGGTTATAAAGGGAAAGTTCTGTCCAACTCACTCTTCCCAGTTGTATACTGGGATGAATACGGGGAATCCGGGAGAGCAGAAGGCCACCTTATAGCCACTTCCTAAAAGACATTTTTGTCACAGCAGAAGTCATTTGACTCTCCCCTGGCTTCCCTAGCTGCTGAAAAACTGCAACATTTGACACCCCCCTCCCTGCCTGCCGCCTTCTGTTACCCTATTTAACCACCTGGGTCTGGTGCACAGATGGCAGCTGGCATCAGAGCCGCGGGAGGCCGTGGTGTGAGTATCTGAGCACTCACAGGTATGTGAAGGAACTCTCAGTGACACCAGCCGCCCCGGGGGCCCGAGTGCGAGCTACCGTGGCTCTTCCCATCCTGGCAGGTGCCCAGCTGCTGAGAGGGTCCTGTCAGACGCCCCTTCCAGGGTGAGGAGGGCTGAGCACAGTTCCAGAGCATCCACACTCTTGTTTTTCTAAACAGGAGAAACTCCCCCTGGCCGAGTGAACGCCCCCAGACTCCAGCCACTGGTTCATTTCCACATGTATCACGGTGACTGCTTTTGTAGTGCAGCAGCAGCAATGTCTGGTCCTAGTGACAGCGACTGCACTGCCCACAGAGCTGAAACTATTTACCACCCAGTCTGGGCAGATGACTCAAAAGACTGGAGTGCATACTTGGCACGTGGGAGCTTCAGGTTTGATTCCCCATGCTACGTGGTCCCTCACGCCCTGCAGGCTGATGACCCACCAGGCACCACGCTGGGAGGGGTGCCCATGCAGTGCTGGATTTAGCATTCCAGCTAAATTTAGCTACAGAAAATATGTGTGTGCATGTGCACAATTCTTTTTTTGTTTGTTTGTTTTTGTTTTGGGCCAGAACCAGCAGTGCTCAAGGCTTACTCCTGGCTTATGCTCAGGGACTGTGGACAGTCCGCTCCTGGTGAGCTTGGGGGACCATATGGATTCCAGGGATTGAACCTGAGTCAGCCTCATGTAAGGCAAGCTCCCTACCAACTATACTAATTCTGTGTATACAATCTTCTTTTTATTTTTTTTTGGGTCCCACCTGGTGATGCACACGGGTTACTCCTGACTCTGTACTCAGGAATTACTCCTGGCGGTGTTTGGGGGATCATATGGGATGCTGGGAATTGAACTCGGGTCGGCCGTATGCAAGGCAAACGCCCTACCTGTGTGCTATCGCTCCAGTCCTGTGTATACAATCTTAACCCATTATGGGAAAAAAAAGTTTGCCAAGCTGGGCATGTATCTCAATGGTTAGAGCACTTGCATTGAAGAAGCAGAAATGTGGCTTCAGGAAGCTCACTTCAGAGGGCTGGAGTATAGACCAGAGTGATGGGACAGCATTGGAGGCACTTGCCCTGCATGTGGCTGACTGGGGTTCAGTCCTTGGCATCCTGTATGGCCTCCCGAGCACCTCTAGGAGTAATTCCTGAGTGCAGAGCCAGGAGTAACTCCCGAGCACTGCTAGATGTGACTCAAAAGCCCAAGAAGAGGGGGAAGCTGAAGCATATACTGTGCATGCTCCCCACCCCTGCCAGGAGTGAGCCCTAAGCACTGCTTAATGTGCCAGTCTCTTTTCTGGGCTGCAAGGTAAGTTGGACATATCGGTTTGAAAGTATTGTGTAGTATTTATAACTCAATTTTGGTTTGCCATTGAGTTTTCTAGGGTTTTCCAAGTCCTAATGCTTTGGAGTGACTCCTTTGGGCTCTCCACAGAAAAATAATGCATCTCTGTGATCACTCTTCTCGCTGGCGATGCCCAAACAAGTTTCTTAGCTCTTGCGTCCTGTGGCCTGCTGGCGTCCATGAGCTGGCGTTACGCAGCCTCAGGCAGGAGGTGTGGAGCGGATGGCTGCTCGAAGTAACTTTGACTGCTCGCTTTTCCTTCCAGCATTAAAGACTGTAAATGGCAAGAAAAAAACATCGTAGTCATGGAAGAAGTTGTTATTACACCCCCATATCAAGTGGAAAACTGTAAAGGCAAAGAGGGGAGTGCACTGAGCCATGTACGCAAAATAGTAAGTAAAGGAGGGGTGCAGCTTCACCTCGGGGGAGTCCCAGCCTTCCCCACACTGCCACATCCCTCCTGCTGCCTCTCTGCACGGGGCGTCTACAGCAGTGCCTGAGACACTCCTTTAGGGCGACATCGGTGGGCAGCCCTGTGTTCTCTGCATCGTGGCTTCTGGAATTAGCCAGAGTGCAGTGTTGGGCCTGAACCCAACTACTGCTTCTCTGGCTTTTTAGGAAGGGCTAGGTGACATCTCTGACCTGTGACTGTCCAGTTACAGCATTTGTAAAAACAAACGGCACCAAGAGAACATCATGTTGCTGAATCCCTGACCGACTTTTCGAAAATTCTGTGCTTGCAGAGAGGCCTTAATAATCTTCCGTCTCTATTGTAGTTTATGGCATAGACTTCTTTTAGCCCAGTCTAGCTCAGACGGCAAACGTGGTAAGCGGCCGCCTTCCTGTGGCTGGGAGTGCAGGCCTGAAGCCAGGGCAGTAGGGGTCTGTGGACTCGGCCCCGTGACGGGGCCGTTGACGCGTGGAGTGAGCTGGCCCAGCTATCTCCTTCGCTGACATTGGCTGCATGGTCTCTTGCAGGTTGAAAAACATTTTAGAGACGTGGAAAGCCAAAAGATCCTGCAGCGTTCACAAGCCCAGCAACCACAGAAGGAGGCTGCCCTGTCATCCTGAGTCCGCACACACGGAGACTCTTCCAGCGTCCAGCCACGGAGGCGGCGGTGGCGGCTTCGGCGGAGGCAGGCCGGGGGAGGGAAGGGATCCTATATTTCTTGCTGGCTCTTGTTAACAGGGCCAGCAGTTCCAAATCTTAGACTTGAACAAACAAAACACCCAACAAAAAAAAGAACAAGAGAATAATTTAAAAGTTGAATCATTACTTGACTAACAGACTTCGGTCCACCATGTCCTTTTCACAGCCCCCTCCTGGAACAGTCACCTTGTTAATTTTATTTTTGAAAATTCCTTTTCTGCTCCACCCTTTCTCCTCTGAGTTTCCTTTCCCAGCCTGTCCCCGGCATTCTGTTTTTACACAAGTGTCTACACTTGCCTTCTGAGTGGTCGAAAGATACTTTTACATCTCTTCCAAAATAAAAGTAACAAGCTGACTGTGACATTAAACCTAGAGGAGAGCAGCAGAGTCTCACTTGAAAGTTTTTGGATTTCTTTTTTCCCCCACCCCACCCCACCCTTTTTTTTTTTTTTTTTTGCACAGGGCATGGCTTGAATTAGTTTTATTTTTCTTAACTTTAAATATATATATGAAAATATATATTAAAATGTTCTCTAAATATTTTCTGCTTCTTGCAGGTCTCTTTTTACTAGATCATGGCCGTTCTTCCCACCTCATTCCTCTGAAAATGAACAATGCATTGCCCTCCTCACTGCCCCTAGCCAGGCAGCCCACTTGACCGGGTTCCCACGAGACTCTCCTGCGGCACTCTGTGCGGACGGGATTCGGCCGGGCGAGTTCCTGATGGGCTTGGAGTCAGTTCCCCGTGTACCAGTCTCACACGGGCCAGACCCTCAGGATTCTCCTTCTGCCTTTCGTCTTACTTGATGGTACTAGAAGCCCCTCCTTGCCACCTCCTGCTTCCTGAGTGGGGAGCCCCGCTGCCCCTGCCCGTGCCCTCTGCAGGGAGAGCTGTTTGCAGGGCATGTCACATCCTCCTCGAGGGGTTGATTTTCTTTCGGAAGAAACTTGGGCTTCGCGGATCTGAGTCTCACAGTCGCTGCCCAGAGCCTCTGGCCCAGGAGAAAGCTTGAGGGACCTATAGTTTCTCCTGCCAAATCCTCTTCTTATCCCCCGCCTCCCCCCTGGAACATTTTACAAGCTTATGACAGTTTGTATGTGCTCAGCCGATGGGCAGAAAACCTGGAAAGATTTTCTGGACTGCAGCCCATTGCCTGTCTGGTGTGAGTAACCTACTGAGAGCTGAAACTGGCACCTGTTGTCCCCGCGCCGCCAGGGCAGTGCCACGGGGCAGAGTGCCACGTTTGAATATCAGGCACTGAGTGGGCTGCCGGTGATGCTCACGAGACCGGCTTGAGCTTTCACGGGTGGAGTGGGGGGTTAATGACACTTTTTTTTTTTTGGCCATGATCTCTTTCCCTTTCCTTTTTTCTTTTCTTTTTTTTTGTAATTAAATAAATGATCAAAATTAAATAATTCAAGCCCTGCCTTCCAAATGAATTTTTTTTTTAAGTATTGTTTAGCAAAAACAATAAAACCCAAATTTTTTTAACCATCACTCATGTCTTGGGTTTGTGCATGCTGGAGAGGCCCTGGGGCGGGGGTCTGAGGTGCGTGTGTTTGACTTGGCCCTCGCCGTCAGAGTCTTTGCTCCCTCTAGCCCCTCAGAACTCATCTGAGATATGGTTCCAAGTATGTCCTGTAAAATGGGGATCCCGCAGGGACCAGAGTGATCCCACAGCAGGTGGGTTGTCTGCGTTGAACGCAGCTGACCTGGGTACAATCTCCAGCAGTCTCCTGTGGTCCCCCAAATCCTCCAGGAGTGATCCCTGATCACCTCGGGGTGTGGCCCCCTCCCCAAAATGATGGGGATCCCCGGGTGGGGGAGATGGTATTGCAGGTGAGGCACTTGCCTTGCAGCTGATGCAGATTTGCTCCCCTATACCCCATAATATACTGAGCTGCCCAGGAGTGCTCCCTGAGCACTATCAGGTGTGACCCCCCCTCCCCCAAAACTGCCCCTCTCCCAGAGGATGGGTATCCTATGGGGAGAATCATAAGTGGATTTAGGGGTTTGGGGGGTGGTAAGTGGGCACATGCATGAGCTGGTCTGTTACAGGACTGTTGGTTGGCACACTGGGGAAATCTTGAAGATATAAGTGTTTTTTATTTTTGGGGTTTTTGGGGGGGTTTTTTGTTGTTGTTTGTTTGTTTTGTTTTGTGGGCCCTACTCGGCAGTTCTCAGGGGTTACTCCTGGCTTTGTGCTCAAGAATTACTTCTGGTGGTGCTCAAGAGACCATATGGGATGCGGGAGATTGAACCTGGGTCGGTTGCATTCAAGACAGATGCCCCACCTGCTTATACTATCACTCCGGACACATTAGAAATGTCCGTTTTTCCATCCATCTGCTCTGGTAATATTTGACTCAGAGCACCAGGCCCTTCGTCTCCATGGAATCCTTTATACTTGTGGAGAGGGCCCAATAGGAGCCGAGGTGCAGCAGAATCTCCAGCCTGTCAGCGATACTGTGAGAGGCCTGAGCAGTGAGGGGGACAGAGGCGGCTGAAGAGGAAGCCCACTGTCCCCTCCCTGATGTGAAGAAGAGAAGCAAGAACCTAAGCGTTTGCAGGGCTGGCTTGTTGGGGAGCGGGGGTGGGGGCAGGGGCAGGAGCAGCTCCCAAGCAGTGCCAGGACCTAGGACTCACTGAGGCAATTGGGCTGGATGGTCAAGTGCTGAACTGGGGCCCCCCAGGGCTCCACCGGCAGCATGGGAGGTCACTTGTTAGCAGGGTTTGAACTCAGCTCCTCTCTCCTCCCCAGTCTCATCCCATTTTCTAGGTTTTTTTTCTTTGCTTTGGTCACACCAGACAATGCTCAGGGGTTACTCCTAGCTCTGCACTCAGGAATCACTCCTGGTGGTGTTTGGGGGACCACATGGGATGCCAGGAATCAGCTCTGGTTGGCTGCGTGCAAGGCAAACACCCTATTCACTGTACTATTGCCCTGACCCTTTTTTTCTGTCTTGGGGTCATACCTGGCTATGCTCAGGACTTACTCCCGGGTCTGCACTCAGGAGTTAACTCCTGGCACTGGTTGGGGGACCATATGGAGTGCCAGGTTTCAAACTTGGGTCGGCTTACCCACTATGTTATCTCTCCAGTCTCCCCCCCCCCTCCATTTTGTGTCTCATTTTTAGCTATACTTTTTTTGTTTGGGGGGGGGTACATGCCTAATGGTGCTCAAGGGTTGTTCCTGGCTCTGTGTTCAAGTGTTGCTCTTGGTGGTGTGACTCTCAGCTCTGCCCAATAGTTGCCCCCAGAGATGCCTTTCATTTCAGAAAGGCCCATGGTCTCATCAGAAATTCCCCCTGTGGCTCTAGCTTTCATTGAAAGTTTAGTCTTTATTTTTGGGCCACACCCCCATGTCAGTGCTGGGGCTGGCTTCTGGTGGGGCTCAGGGGATCACGTGTGTTGAGAATTGAAGGAGGTTTAACCACATACAAAGCAAGTGCCTTAGTCCCTGTCTTTCTCTTTTTTGACTCTAGCTTTAGTATTTGAAATACTGTGTGTGGTGGGGGTTGGGGGAGGACGACGAACTGTTTTTTCTTTGTATTTTTGTTTTTGTTTTTTGGCAGAGCCAGGGATGGAGCCGAGGGCCTCATCCATGCAATGCCAGTATTGGAGGTAACTCGGAGGCCTTGAGCGCTGCGTTCCACATAGGTGCTCCAGGTTTTATCTTCGGTACCAGCAGTCTCCCAGTACTGCTGGGAGCGATACCCCGAGCACCACCCAGAGTGGCCCCCAAACACCCCCCCCCTTTTTTTTTTCTTCAAAATTATCACTAACGGGGCTGGCTAGGACACTTGGTAAATCCTTGGCACCTTACATGGTTTCCCCAAGCACCATCAGAAATGATATGAGTGCAAAGCCAGGAATGAGCCCTGAGCATCACTGGATATGGAAAAAAAAAACACTACCCCACACCCCAGGCACCTGCTTTGTGAGCCCCCTAAGCCCAGAGTTCAAGCAGCACCTCGAACTCTGGCCTCACTCCCCACTCTGTGCTGGGACCCCTTCCTTTATTGCTTGATACCACGTGTCATGCTAGTTGAGCCCCACTACTGCTAAATGACGTGTTGGGAGCACCACTGCTGCGAGTGTGGCAGAGCTGGAACAGAACCCCAGGCCTTGCCTGCTCACGGGCTTGGGGAGGTGACTTGGGACTGAAGCACATGGTCTCTATCTGGGGGCTCCAGGTTTGCTCCCGGGCAACGCTGCCTGGGTTAATGCGAGCACTGAGATGGGAGCTGCCCCTAAACACTGCCTCTTGTGCTCCAAGCTCCACCCGACTCCCTCAGAAATAAATAATGCCCTGTGATTTTCCAAATGGATGGTACATGAATGGCTCACTTTCCTCTTCATTTGCCTGTTTTAGATGGGAACTGGGGAGCTATTGAGAAGGCAGAAACTGATTGACCCTAGGCTGGAAGAGCATCTCACAGCTGGAGCTCAGCTGATGCCTGCGGGCTGGCTCTGCCTCCCCATTCACATTCCTATTCCAGCAGCCTTGATAGTCTGTCCCTGCTCCAACACTTGCATCCACAGAGACCTCATTGCTCTGACAAGTGACACTTAATTGCTGCCGGGTGTCCTTTGGTCTTCAGGCATTTCATTCCTAGAAGAGGCATGACCTCAAGTCTGCCGCGCTCTTTCCATGATGCCCTTTCTTAGCAGCCTCTGGGGTCGCACAGGGGCTGCTCATGGGGCAGGTGTGACTGACCTTGTCTCCAGTGAGATGAATTCCATTTATAACTACTCTGACCTGCTAGGAGCTTCCAGTATACGATCCCTGCAATGTGTTCCAATCTCAGTAGGCTGTTTTTATGTGTTTCCATCTTCTCCAAAGGTCTCTCACAAGATCCAGATGTCCACGATAGCCTACTAACAGTCAAAAAGGGAAATAAAGTTATTTGACTCTCTTATTCATAGTGAAACTATTGGCCACTTGGAGGGCTTCCTAAGTAACTTGGTACATGCTGGTAGAGCCCATCGTACATTTTGCTTTTTTTTAAAAAAACAGTAAACTTTCCCAAGTCTAGTCTGTTGTGAAAATTGCAACATGGGGCTGGAGCTATAGTTACAGCCGGTAGGGCGTTTGCCTTGCAAGAGGCCAACCCACGTTCAATTCCCAGTATCCCATATGGTCCCCCGAGAACTGCCAGGAGTAATTCCTGAGTGCAAAGCCAGGAATGACCCTTGTGCATCACCGGGTGTGACCCAAAAAGAAAAAAGAAAATCAGGATTTGGGGCTGGAGCGATAGCACAGTGGGTAGGGCGTTTGCCTTGCACGGGGCCAACCTGGGTTCAGTTCACAGCATCGCATGTGGGCCCTGAGCACCACCAGGAGTGATTACTGAGTGCAGAGCCAGGAGTAACCCCTGTGCATTGCTGGGTGTGACCCAAAAAGATTGGGACTTTGAGGAATGGAGAGATAGTACAGGGGTTAAGGTGCTTGCTTTTGCATGTGGCTGTCCCCAGTTTGACATAGCATCTGATCCCCCAAGCATTGCCAAGGGTGACCCCCCCCCCCCCCGCTTGAGCACAAAGCTGGGAGTAGCCCCTGAATGCTTCCTGGTGTTGCCCCAAAACAAAAATAATTCAGAGCTTTGAGCTCAAGGCCTCAACACCATTTGTAGTATCTTCTCCAGGATTATTGGCAGTGAGACTTCAACTTTCTCCTGCATGATTTGCTCCAACCAGTTACATGAATTCAAAGGAGTTCAAGTGGGATCAACCAGAGGTGTTGGACTCATACCCTAGATTCATGGTGGCTTTTCTGGGAATGATTGTTATTTATTCATAGACCATGACTTATTTTTTGGGGGGGGCGACAAAGGGGGTACACCAGCGGTGCTCAGGGCTCACTCCTGGTGGGTCTCTGGGTACCATGAGGGTTGACTGGATCAGCTGTGTGCAAGGCAAGCACCCTGCCTGCTGGCCCATCTCTCCAGACCCAAAAGTGGTGGTTTTGACATGAAGTGAGACGGCTTTGGGGGCTCCGTGGCTCGGTTGTCCTGCAGGTCCGGTTGCACCGTGATTCGGTAGTTGCCCAGCCTTGCCAGGCATCAGCTCCTTGTCTCCGAAGCGAGTCTCAGCTGAGGATTAAGTGAAGCTTTAATGAGCGGCCTGGCCCTTGGCAACTGTCTCTTAATGTCACCATTATTCTCAGAAGAGTGCTGGGCAGGGTCAGCCCACACCCTTGGGAACCTAAGGACAAAGTGGCTTGTTTGGCCTCCCAGGCCGTTGACCCCAGACCCCCGTTTCAGGAGGAGGTGGGGACGCTCCTGGGAGGCCCGAGTGGAGGCTTTTGACCAGGGGTCTCAGGAGATCACAGTGGAACCTTCCAGTCTGCAACTGCTGGCCATGGGGACTCGCAGCTGATGCAAATTCCCAGCAGGCAGAGGGGGATGACAGCTGTAACACTGCTCTTGCCAGCTCCAGGGGGCCTCAAGCTGCTGATCTGACGCAGAGAGGGAGCGCAGGGGGCCAGGAGCAGGGCAGTCACCTGTTCGACTGGGCCAGGTCTACTTCCCTGCCTGTCAGGCCCCAAAGATGCCCACCGCAGCATCAGGCTCTGGCTTCCCTAGAGCTCCGGCTGCCTCCAACGTGCTGTGGCTGTGTACAGGGCAGGAGGGAGCAGTGCGTCTCCTGGGATTGCAGAGGGAGGAGGGGTGGGGCCTGGAGGGCCCAACAGCCTGCACCCCCCAAGCCAGGTGTGGCCCGAGAAACAGGGAAGAGTGGAGTAGGGGCAGGCCACTGGGGTTAGGCTTCTGTGGCTCAGTGGGGATTGAAGGAACATGTCCTTGAGGGCATGGGGGAAACTCCTGAGTGGGAGCAGACTGAGGCAAGATGGTTCCGGCCCCCATGGGTCCCTGCTGCAGGGCCCGGTGCTCCCCTGTCCCCGACCGTCATGGTCATGTGACAATGTACCCAAGGCCATACCCAGGCCCACTGCAGCCAGTGAGGAACCGAGGAACCAGGGGGCCTTCCCCAGCCCAGGCCCCCCAAGCTAAGGCAGAAGCATCCCCACCTCTTGCAGGTGGCTGCTCCCTGTGTCTCTGGGGACCCAAGTGCTGCCGCTTCCTCCCAGTGCCCTGTGGGATCTAGTTAGTGGGGCGCCAGGAGGCACCGGTTTCCTGGAGCAGCTGGGCCTCAGCCAGAACCGGCTGGCCTGCTGACCCCTGGACTCCTCTGTTGGGGGCTACTGCGCATCCTCCACTACCTCCACATCACCTCCACATCACCCCGGACGCCTGAGTGACCGAGGCCTGGAGCAGCTCGTCCTGAGCTGACTGTACCTCCTGTGCTGTCTCTTCCTGGCTAAGAACCAGCTGCAAATGTGGGGTGTTGGGGTGCAGCCCCAGCCACAAATCCAGGCTCAGAGGTTGTCTAGGAATGATGGCAGCCAGCTGGATGGGCCCTGGAACTCCAGGGGTTCTGGGGCTCCTTTAGGGACACTGAGCTGCAGCACCTGGAGTTCGAGGTGTAGGGGCATCAGCGGGCTGGAGCCTGCTGCCCACCTGACTTGGCTCAGTGGCAGGGGGATGCTGGACACCATGTGAGGCATTTTTGTTTGATTTATTTAATCACTCGCCCGGAGAAGCTGCCATCTTGGGAGAGCAGCCATGGTTGGCCGCGGCAGCAGCGGGCGGGAATGATAGCACAGCGGTAGGTCGTTTTCCTTGCGCGCAGCCAGCCTGGCCAAGCCGGGTTCAATTCCTCCGCCCTTCTCAGAGAGCCCGGAAATCTACCGAGAGTATCCCGAGTACAGAAGGACAGTACTCCCATTGTTCATTAATTTTGCTCAAGCGGGCCCAGTAACGTCTCCATTTTGAAACTTGTCATTACTGTGTTTGGCATATCGAATACGTCACGGGTAGCTTGCCAAGCTTTGCCGTGCGGGCGAGATACTCTCGGTAGCTTGCTGGGGTCTCCAAGAGGGGCGGAGGAATCGGAATCGAACCCTGCTCAGCTGGCTGGCCAGCAGCACACAAGGCAAACGCCCTACTGCTGTGCTATCGCTCCAGCCCCAATGGGAGTACAGTGTTATTTAATCGCTGTGAGATACAGTTACAAAGTTGTTCATGATAGGGTTTCAGTTATACAATGTTCCTATACTCATCCCTTCACCCGTGCACATTCCCCCCACCCCCTTCTTTTGGGGCAAAGGGTTTGTAATACAGGTACTCAAAGATTATCACGTATATACTTTACCTCCTGTTAGCACTCAGTTCTTATTCAGAGTTAATTGTCATAGTAGCAGGGCTGGAGTGATAGCACAGTGGGTAGGGCATTTGCCTTGCACGCAGCCAACCCAGGTTCGATTCCTCCAATTCTCTCAGAGAGCCCAGCAAGCTACTGAGACTACCCCGCCCGCACAGCAAAGCCTGGCAAGATACCCGTGGTGTATTCGATATGCCAAACACAGTAACAAGAAGTCTCACAAAGGAGACGTTACTAGTGCCGCTCAAGCAAATCGATGAACAATGGTGTTGTCTTAGTGGTCCCTTCTCTGTCCTAACTGCTCTCCCCTACTTGTGGCATGCTTCCAACGAGGGACCAGTCCTCCTGGCCCTCATTTCTACTGTCCGGGTATTAGTCCACTTGAGGCATTTGCATGTGGTCAGCGTGGGCCATGCACTGGGCCAGGCTGCCTGGCCAAGGTGGCTACTGTACTGTCTCATGGGCAGGTCACTGGCTGTGGTCACGGATGACAGAAGTGCAGATGGGACTCAAGAGCTGGGGGCCCTCTGGAGAGGTGGAGGGGTACTGCCAAGGATTCAAGCAGCTGGGAGAGCAGATGGTGCCATGGAAAAGGAAGAGGAATGTTTCGCAGGAGTCTGAGGGCTCAAATGAGACTGCAGTGGTGAAAGAAACTGAGGGCAGGGGGCGGGTGACAGTCCCCAACACAAGCTCCCTCTTCAACATCCCACTGAAGAGGGTGTAGGTAAAAGTTCAGGAGAAGCCCTAAGGGAACAGGCTGGATTGCTCCCCCCCACCCCTGCCTTCATTCCTCACCCTGATCTGCCTCTTGGGGGTTTTTCTTTTTCTTTTTTTTCCTCCTTTTTTTGCTGCTTGAAGCTGAGACTAGGCAAGTAGAGGGAAATGAAACCAACTGGAAAAAGAATTCTGTGTGTGTGTGTGTGTGTGTGTGTGTGTGTGTGTGTGAGAGAGAGAGAGAGAGAGAGAGAGAGAGAGAGAGAGAGAGAGAGAGAGAGAGAGAGAGAGATGCGGAAGGAAATAGCACATGCTGTGTTCACTGAGGGGCAGGTAGAGGTAGGAACTTTTTTTTTCCTTTTTGGGTCACACCCTGCAATGCTCAGGGGCTCAGGGGTTACTCCTGGCTCTGCACTCAGGAATCACTCCTGGAGATGCTCAGGGGACCATATAGGATGCTGGGAATCAAACCCAGGTCGGCTGCGTGCAAGGTATACGCCCTACCCACTGTGCTATTGCTCCAGCCCCAGAACTTGTATTTTTTTTAAAGCGAACACTTTTTCCTCTTGCTTTTCTTTACCATTTATTGTTGCACAGTGGATCGTGGTACCAAGAGACCTCACAACCGCAGTGCAACTGGGATGGAACTGGTGACTCATCCGTGGTAGCACCCGGGATGGAACTTTGAGACTCTCATCCAAGGACAGGCATCCCCACCACTAAACCGCACCCCTACACCCCAGTAATGAAAAATACTTTTTTGAAGGCGGAGGTCACACCTAATGGTTGTCAGGAGAGACTCGTGGGGTGATGTTTTGGGGTCACTCCCAGCAGTGCTGGTGAGCAGAGTACTCACTCCAGCTCCTTGAGCATTTCCCGCACCCTCTCCAGCATCTTTAATTCTCCTGCCTGGAGATTTCCTCAATCCCAGCATACCTACAGTCGCAGTCCCTAGTTTTCTTGTATATGTGGGTATATCCTCTCACATTCAAGCCAGAGGTGTTTTGGGGGGCGGGGAGGTGCACGCCCGGCGATACTCAGAAATTACTCCTCTCAGCTCAGGAACTACTCCTGGCGGTGCTCGGGGGACCCTCTGAGGTGCGGGAGATCGAACCCGGGCTGGCCGCATGCCAGGCAAGCGCTCTACCCACTGTACTATCGCTCCAGCCCCAGGACTACCTTTTTTTTTTTTTTTTGCGGGGAGGGGGTGGGGTGGCAGAGGGGAGACTGTGCTGCGATCACTCCTGGCGGGGATCGGGGGACCCTACGTGGTGGTGCCGCGGATCGAACCCGAGTCTACGGCGTGCAAGGCAGGCGCCCGAGCCCGGTACGGTTTCCCGGCGCCACGCCCGGAACCGGAGGGCGGGAGCGCGGTTTCCCGACGGAAGCGGCGGGGCGCGGACGCGGCCCGGAAGTTGCGTGCGGGCGGGGGCGCGAGGCGGCCGCGGGCTGCCGTTCCCCCGAGATGGCGTCCAAGGTGGGCTCGCGACGGTGGATGCTGCAGCTGCTCATGCAGGCGGGCGCGGCGTTGCTGACGCGCTGCCCGTTCTGGGACTGCTTCAGCCAGCTCATGCTGTACGCCGAGCGGGCCGAGGCGCGCCGGTGAGCGGGCCCGCGCGGCCGCCGAGCACGGGGGGTGGGTGTCGGGGGGGCGGGGGGGGGCGGGAGAAGCGGGGACGGGGGCCCGGCGGGCACGGGGGCGGGAGGGGGCCTGGCTTCATCCCGCCCGCGTGGCTTCTCCCCGCCCCGCCCGCAGGAAGCCCGACATCCCGGTGCCCTACCTGTACTTCGACATCGGGGCGGCCGTGCTGTGCGCCAGCTTCATGTCCTTCGGGGTGAAGCGACGCTGGTTTGCGCTCGGGGCCGCCCTGCAGCTGGCCATCAGCACCTACGCCGCCTACGTCGGGGGCTACGTCCACTACGGGGATTGGCTGAAGGTGAGCGCCGTGGGGGGCCTGGCGGCCACTTCGCGGGGGGGGGGGGGTGGGGGGGGATGGGGAGCCCCGGTCCCCACGGAGAGAGGCGTGTCGACCCAGAATGGAAAGAGAACCCGGGGCCACCGCTTTTGCGGACTGTGGAAGCTGAGGCCTAGAGATGAGACAGACGTCAGAGACGGTCCGCACTTGGCCTTCCTGTGGAACCCAGGTCCCTGGGCACGATTAGCTTTGCCATCCCAGGCTCAGGGGCTGAGCCGCCCGCCGGACTTTTCGTGCAGCGTGTAAGCCCATATGTGCCCGAACCTGTGTTGGCCGCTGCGTGCTTGGAGCTCACTCCATGCCCGAGTGGGTCTAGCCGGGAGACAGGTGTGGTGCAAGTGTACAATACACTTCGGGAGGGACATGGGGCTGGAATCTATCCAAACTGTGAATGTGGGGTGGGGGGGACCTTGTTCTTTGGGTTCTGCCATTTGCTTCCTATAGGACCATGCAGTTTTTCTAATATCTCTGGCCAACAGTCTTTTCCTTCATTGTGTGTGTGTGTGTGTGTGTGTGTGTGTGTGTGTGTGTAGTGGAGGGTATAAGGGGGTACACCCTGGAATGTACAGCTTACATCCCAGCCAGCTGAGCATTCCATCTTTATGGGGGTGGGGTGGGGAGTCACTCTCCAGGAGCGCTCAGAGGACCTCAGTGCACGAGGCCGGGCAGTTCGGGTCTCGGTGCAGTGATGCAGTGCTATCTGGGCCCAGCAGCACCGGAGAAGGGGCCGAGCAATGTGGGGGATCCCACCCCTGGGGCCTTCTGCTGGCAAAGCATGTGCTGGGGCCCCCCTGAGCTATCTCCCTGGCCCATGCTCACTTCTCATAAACCTCTCTGTCTCAGCTTGAAGCCCCCGCACCGGGAATGGGCTTCTCAGAGGGGATGGGATGTTGAGCATGCGCTAGCGGACGGCCCTGATGGGGTCCCTTCTGCCTTGGTAGGTCCGTATGTATTCGCGCACCGTAGCCATCATCGGTGGCTTCCTGGTGCTGGCCAGCGGCGCTGGGGAATTGTACCGCCGGAAGCCCCGTAGCCGCTCACTGCAGTCCACCGGCCAGGTGTTCCTGGGCATCTACCTCATCTGCGTGGTAGGTTGGGGGACCCCCCTAGCGGCAGCGCTTGTCTGGGAGTGCACTGAGCTCGGGCTGGCAGGACTCAGGGGAGGTGGGCAAGACCAGCTTGCGTGCGGTTCTTAATTTCCTGGCTGAGGCCCCCCTGAGGAAGAGTTAGGGTGACCATTATTAGGTCCCCAGCCCGAAGGCCAGGAGAACATGAGGGAGTGGTTCTCTGAACTCTAGTCCTCAGTGGACTATAAAGGAACCACAGAAGAGTGCTGAGAGTTCAGGTCCCTGCTAGGACTTGGCTCCGTGGGGCGCTTGGGGGCTGCTCCTCCTATTTCTGCAGGAGGCCTAGGCCTCGAGGCAGCCTCACTGAGTTACCGGGCACCGTGTCCATGTGGAGTTCTGTATTCAGAGGCGGGGGCCCTCTCTGATCGCAGGTACACCTTCTCTCTGAGCCCCCTGATCGAGACCTCCTGGAGTGCCCTAGCTCAGCTTTCAGAAGCCCTGAGTGAAGGGTCAGAGGTCATCTGGAGAGGAGCTGCCTGGTGGGTGCTGTGTCCGGGGGCACTGCCCAGAGCAGCTCCAAAACCCTGAGATGCTGTTTCTAGGCCTACTCGCTGCAGCACAGCAAAGAGGACCGGCTGGCGTATCTGAACCACCTCCCGGGCGGGGAGCTGACGATCCAGCTCTTCTTCGTGCTCTACGGCATCCTGGCCCTGGCCTTCCTTTCGGGCTACTACGTGACCCTGGCTGCCCAGATCCTTGCCATCCTGCTGCCCCCGGTCATGCTACTCATTGATGGCAACGTCGCCTACTGGCACAACACACGGCGTGTGGAGTTCTGGAATCAGATGAAGCTCCTGGGAGAGAATGTGGGCATCTTCGGGGCCGCTATCATCCTGGCCACGGATGGCTGAGTCGCAGGGCAAGAGGGCAAGACGGGTTCAGGGAGCCACTCAGGGGTCTCTTGTCTGCCTCCTCGCCAGCCCAGTTGCTGGTTATTTATGCTTTGGGGTACTCGTGTATGTGTGTGTGTCTCTGTCTCTGTCTCTGTTTGTCTGATACTATGAGTGATGGTGAGAGACAGGGCTCTATCCCCATTCTGTGGCCATGGCGGGGTAGGAGCCCTGATGATGATGCCTTACAGGTTCTCTCCTGTTAGGAGGAGAGGTAACAGCCAGCAGTTCCCCCGAGACTCCTGTTCCTGAGATGGGAGTTAAGGAGTGTGAATGGGGTGCTGAGAGGGAAACGGAAGTGAGCCCTGGGCACCTCCCCTTTGCACCCAAAGGCTGCACGTTGGCTCTGCAGTGCTCCTTGAAGACCTCAGTACGGGTGCGTGTTGACTCGTGGCTCAGGCCTGGGAGGAGCAAAGGAGCTGTTGGGGGGTGGGGGGGGCTCTGTGAAGGTCACGTGGGTTCTCAGGGTATCAGAAGCAGCCACTGCACTTGCTGCCTTCCCACCTCAGGAGCAGGGCAGACCCCAGTGTGATCTGGGGTGCATAGGGGTGGGGCAGCCAGCAGCCAACCTCCTGGCTCCTGCTGTCGCCGTTTCCATCCCTTTGGTTAGCTTGGTGGGGTGAGTGCCCCCCTCCAAACACCAGACCACACAGTCTTCCAAAAATAAACATTTTATATAGATATCTGACTTTGCGCCTTTGTTTTCCCCAGAGGGCATGAGGCCATTGGCTGGGACTGACATTGGACTTAGCAAGATTGTGTCTGATCAGGCCCCACCTTTGTCCTACTGTGACTGTGTGTGGCGTGTGTGTATGTCCTGTTCTTAGAATCCCCACATTCCTCCTCTCTTTGCGAATCTCTGTGTGTGTGTGTGTCCTGTTCTCAGAGTCCCCACATTCCTCCTCTCTTTGCGAATCTCTGTGTGTGTGTGTCCTGTTCTCAGAGTCCCCACATTCCTCCTCTCTGCAAATCTCCTCCTCCCTGGAGTCTGGGCCTTTAACCTCACACAGTCCCTCTTGTCACTTGTCAGTTCTTTTAGGCTACTAGAAAACCCTCTGGTAAGGGCAGCTAGAAGGAGGGAAGTGATGTGGTCTACTTTCAGGCTGAGCATTTGGCAGGAGGAAGAGGAGGCTCAGGGTGAAGCGGCTGCCTTTGAGCCACAGAGCTGGGCTCTAGGTTGCTCCTGTCTGCTGCTGCGGCCCAGCTGTGCCCTTCATATCACCCCTCTCCCAAGGGCAGCTCATGTCACAGCCCCTGGGATAGCCTCCCCAGAGAGTAGCCCCAATAGCTAGTCTGGTACCGGGCACATTGTGAGGGTTGGGAAGCGTCAAGGAGATGTCCTGCTCTGGATTTTTTTTTTTTTTGGTCACCCCTGGCAATGCTTAGGGGTTACTCCTGGCTCTGTACTCAGGAATTACCCCTGGCAGTGCTCGGGGGACCATATGGGATGCTGGGAATCGAACCCGCGTTGGCCGTGTGCAAGGCAAACACCCTACCCACTGTGCTACTGCTCCAGCCCCTGCTCTGGACTTCTGACCATTCCACCCCACGAAGACCGAGCTAGAATTCCAGAGAGGCCTCAGAGGAAGCAGCCGAAACTCAGCTCTGAGCCTCTCCTGAGAAAGCAGCTGGGGCGGCTGTCTGTGTGGTGTGTGGATTGCAGGGGCTGGGGCTGCTGACGCCCCAAAGAGGAGAAAGATGTCACTGGCACCTCAGTTCCCTCTCAAGCCCCTGGGTCCTCAGCCCTTGAGAACATGCTCGCAGAGGGGCACTGGCCGTTTCCTTCCAAGCGTGAGCTGACTCTCCGACATGTCTTTGGGTTTTAATCAAGGCCTCCGGGAAAGTTGTAAGACCCAATGGAATTATCAAACGAGAGGTGGAATAGCCAGCCGACTGCGAGGGGGCCTTGGGGCCACACAGAGACCCCTGAGGTTCGGCTTTAAGGCCCCTGACCCCCTCTAGTTCCCTAGACTGGAAGCTGAGGCGGAGAGCCATGGCTTTGGGACACGTGTGGGCTCCGGTGGGTTGCTGCCTGCTGGGCTTCCCGGCTCGGGCACCCGCCTCTGGACAATATATAGAATAGGGTTGTCTCCAGATCACTGTCTAGCCTGGGGTCGCCTCCAGTCCGCTCTGGCTGGCCCAGGATGGCTGGTGGTGAGGGTCAGCTGCCTGGGTCAGAAGCTGGCTTGCAGAAGGAGTCCGGCAGCCCTTTGGCATGGTTCACCAGCTCATAGGAGTCCCGGATATCAGCCAGGCCAAACCAGAAAAAGATCCACTGCTTGTTGGAGAAGCTGCCATCGCTGTGTTTGAAGTACCTACGGGAAGAGAACGCGGGGGTTCAGGCAAGGCTCACTGGTCACCCGCTCATTTACTGGGGCCTGCTCCATGCTAGACCCTACCGGGGCTTCCTGCCCTGAGCTGATTCTTCTGTCCTCTTAGCAGCAAGAGGATGGAGTTAGGGTCTCTCACAGGGAAGCAACCTCGGTTCAGAGAGGTTAGGTAGCTCACCTGAGTAATACAGCTAGGAAGGTTAGTATAAGGGCAGCCTTGGACCTTGTGGCCAGGGGAGGGGACCTAGTTCACTTCTTGGTGCCCACAGAGCAGGGGAAGAGAGGGAGAGATCCGAGGACAGAAGGGGATGTCCCATAGGGTTCCCTGCAAGTGTTAGGCACCACCACTGCCACTGGGCTAGCAGGGCCGGGGAGTGAAGTGTGGCTGTGGGCATCTCGGCAGAGTGAGCTCTGTTCCCCGGGGAAGGCGGGGCCATACTGGGTGGATGGTGCGGTGGACAGGGGCTGAAGGAGAGCGGGAGCAGGACCTACCACGGGTTGATGGGGTTGGTGACCCGGGAGCGCCAGAAGAGCGTCTGCAGGTCCCGGCGCAGGCATTCCCACAGCATCTGCCCGGAGCCTTGGCCTTGACGACTGGAGCTCACCACAAACTTGTCCAGATACGGGGTGCCCCCCAGGACGGGCTCCATGGTCAGGATGGCGGCCGCGTTGTACCTGGCGCCGCCGGGGAGAGGCAGGCTGGCACCTCTTTTGGGCCCGAAGATTCCCGCCTCTGACCCTGGACCCCTGCTCCCCGGCCCTCCGCGCTCACCCCTCGGAGAAGTAGATGGAGTGCAGCCGCGGGCGCAGGTTGGCCAAGTAGTCGTCGCGGAGCCTCTTGCCGAAGCTGGTGTTCACCAGGGTCACCAGGCGGCGCTGGTCCAGGCTGTCCAGGCTGCGCACTCGCAGCATCCGCTCGGCGTTCTTGAACAGGGTGCCCCGGCCTGCGTGGGGGTGGAAGAGAAGCGACTCGCTTAGCCCGGGAGCCGGGACGCATCCGTGGGGTGCGGGTTCCGGATGGAGCTGGGGAGCTGGCGGGACAATGACCCTCTTTGATCTCCGCAGTAAAAAGCGAGCCCACCTGGGGCCGGAGCCGTAGCACAGCGGGTAGGGCTAGCCTTGAGCCCGGCTAACCCGGCTTCCATCCCCGGCGTTCTATACGGTCCCCTGAGCCCAGCCAGGAGTGAGCCCTGGGCACCGCCGCTTGTGGTCCCCAAACAAACAAACAGAAGTGGAAAGAAAGGAAAGATGGTCTACGGGGATTTGTGTAATGATTCTCTCAAAGGGATGCCTCAGTGCCTCGAGTCCCGCCCACCGCCTGCAGTCTTGCCTACTTCCCGCCTATCACCCGAAATCCCGCGGCCCCGGCCCCGCCCATCTCCCCAGGCCCAGCTCAATCCGATGGATCCCGCTCGCCTGTGGTCCCGCCCACCTGCCCAGATCCCCGCCCAACGGATCCTTTCCGCTCACCTTCAGCCCGCCCACCCTTTCCACCTCCTTCGCTGATGCCGGGTTCGAGTAAGAGCTAGAAGCCTGGGCGGTGGCATCCATCCTCCCCACCTCCCAATGGCTCCGTACTCGCGGGGAGGCCGTTTTCCCTGTCCACTCACAAGCACATGCGGAGACCCAGGCCCTGACCAGCGCGCGGCCCTCACCCTTGTTGCTGAAGAGCTCAGTGAGCAGCGAGCTGGCGTCGGTGATGACGGCAGAGGCGTGGTGGGGCATGCGGCTGAGTACGTCCACGATGAGCCGTATCTGCTGCCGTTCCTTGGTGCTCATCCACTCGGCATTGGTCACCAGGTCCAGATCACCCGGCAAGTTCACTTTACTCAGGACCTGCCGTCCGGGGCAAGGGGGCGAGTCAAGAATTGATCCTGTGCCTCCCTGGACCTTTTTCCTCGCTCACCCCTTTGCCCTTCTTCCCAGGAAGGGTTCCGAAGGGGCACCGCGGACTGAGTGTCCTCTGACACGCTCCATTCCAGAGCAGCGCCCGAAGGTCGCGCGGGCGACGACCCGGCCTGACGAGGAGTAGCGGGGCTGGGTGAGGGGGCGAGAGGAGGGGGCGCACCGTGTGACTGCTGTCCCGCAGGCCGCCGGTAGTATTGAGGAAGATGATTTTGGTGGGCTGCAGCGCCTTAGCCAGCGACGCTGTCACCTCCAGCGAGTCGAGGAGTACCGAGCGGCGCGCGGTCGTCTCCCCGATGGGGCACAGGATGGGGATGCTGCCCGACTCCAGGCACCACTGCAGCAGGTCGGTCTCCACGGAGACCACGCCGCCGTAGCTGCGAGCCAGACGAGGTGCTCGTGAGCGCCCCCTCCAGGCTCGCGACCCGCAAGGGCGGACGTCGGGGCAGGCGCGGCGGGCACTAACCTGGCGTGCGGGGCAGGCTCAGCTGCACTCAGCACTGATCCCCCGCCAAAAAAGGGCACGGCAGGGGCGGCGTTGTGCCTCAGGGCGTCCACCAGCACCTTACAGTTCTGGGCCAGCTGCGCCTTGGCCTCCCAGAAGGAAAGACAACCCGAGGGGGCCGTGGGCGTGGGCAGCCCCAGCACCACCAGCGGCTTCATGTCCATGCGCTGCAGGAAGGCCAGCGCGAAGGCCAGGGTGGACACGGCCTCCGGGCTCAGGAGCACTTCTTCCTCCACCTGAGGGGGGGAGGGAGGCAGGTGTTCAGGAGGAGCGGTGACTAGCTTCCCCCCGCACCCGCTTTCGCCTCCAACCTGGTCCTCCTGGGCGGTGGGACCCGCTCGGCTCCCAGGAGCGGTCAGGCCCCATCTCTGGCCGCTGGCGCCCACCTGCTCGCCCTTTGCCCGTTGGGTCTTGCCATCCCCTTATCTCACACGCCAGTTCCTCCCTCCGCCTCTCCCAGCGACCTTGGACTATGGGACACCTGGGGGGAGGGGAGGGGAGGGATGACGCAGGCGGCTCCTGCCCGAGTTCCCCGCTTGGCCGTCTGGAATCCCCGGGTGCGTCCATGGTGGGAGGGGGCCTTCTCGCGACATCACCGTGGACGGGGTCGGGGCGCCCAGACTGCCCGCCCGGGCCGGGCGTGAGCCTGGGAGAGGGGCCGCCGTGCTCTGGTCCGGGCCCCGCTCCGTGGCGCCCCTTCCCGGTCCCGCGGCGCCGAGTCCGGAGCGGATCCCGCCCTGCGCCTGGCCAGGAGGGACCCGGCCACCGCGACGCTCCGCTCACCTCGATGACGGCGAAGGGCTTGTCGGAGGGGTGGTGGCCGGCCTGGAACTGCGTCAGCCAGTGGCGCGCCTCCCCGGGGCTGGCCCCGCACTGGGTCAGGAAGGCCTGGATGTCCCTCTGCACGAGCGAGCGGCCGCCCGCCGGCCCGGGGGACTCCGGGGGCACCGCGGGCGCGCGCGGCGGCGTCCACGACGGCTCCTGGACGGCGGGCGAGGGGACGCCGTCCTCCGCGCCCTCGGCCTCGTCGGGAGCGGGCTGAGCCGGGGCCCGGGCGGTGCTGAGCCTCCGTCCCGGGCTGGCGCCCCTGGCCGCCCGCCGCCGCGCGCTGCCGCTCAGCCTGCGGGGGTCCCCGGCGCTGCGGAGGCCTCGCAGTCCCCCGCCTCCGGCAGCGGTGGCCCTCAGGGCCCCGGCCAAGCGGGCCGTCGCCATAGCAACCAAACGGGCCGGGCCCCCCACGAGTGAGTGTCGGGCGCGTGGGACTCTGGGGGGCTCTTAACCCGCGCGGGACGGGGCGGGGCGGGCTCCGGGGCGGGGCGCCGGCTGGGGGCGCGGAGTCGCGGGGGGGGGGGTGAGTTTGCCCAGGCTCAGGCGGGGGGGGGGGGGGCGGCGCCACAGGCTCCCCCGCCCCTGGGCCGAGCCCGACCCTCCGGCGACCTCAGAGCCGATTTGCAGGGTGCAGGGCCTCCTGGGTCCGCTGTCCAGGTCGCTTCCGGGAGGGGCCCCGCTTCAGGGTCTCGTTGGGGCTCTGATGACCCAAGGGATTCGGACGGGGACAAGAGAGTTGAGGTGCCTGGAAGCGGGGTGGGGGCCCCAAGAAAGGAAGGTGGAGTGCCCCTCTCGACAGGGCAGGGGAGGTTCTGCTGAGGGAGCCCAGTAGACGGGAATCGACTCCCACAGAATTTTGTCATATTCATTTTGTCATATTTTGGGGGGGTGGGGGGCGTAGTCCAAGCAGTGCTCAGAGGTTCCTGAGCTCCTTGCAATTCTCAGCCCGATGCTTCCCCCCACCCCCACCAAACTAGTTCATCACGTGACTTCCGGTCATCAGGAACTGGGATTCGAACCTCTGCCCTGAGCTCCCACCCTTTGAGCCTCCAACCTTCCCAGCCTCAAGTCACCTTACTGGGATTCAGGGTTGTCATTGTTATTGTATCTCTGTGGGGCTGTGGTTAGGTCTGTGACACTTGCCATAAGCAGAAGAAAACCTTAAGAATCAAGAATTAGCCCGGGGGTGGGGGGTGGGGGTGGAAGCAATAGGACAGCAACGGACCCGGATCCAATCCCCTGCATTCCATATGGTTCCCCAAACCCTGTCAGAAGTGAACCCTGAGTGCAGAGCCAGGAGTAAGCCTTGAGCACCACCTGACTTGCCACCCTGCCAAAAAGAAAAAAAAAATAATAATAATAATAACATGGAGTTCATGCCCAATTCAATCAGCTTAATCAATGGCTGAATAAATGCAGTATTCCTACATTAAGCACGGTAGCACTGTCCTCCTGTTGTTTATCGATTTGCTCGAGAGGGCTCAGTAACGTCTCCATTATGAAACTTGTTACTGTGTTTGGCATATCGAATATGCCACAGGTAGCTTGCGAGGCTTTACTGGACGGGCGAGATACTCTCGGTAGCTTGCCGGACTCTTGGTAGCTTGCCGGGCTCTCTGAGAGGGGCGGAAGAATTGAACCTGGACGGACTGGGTCGGCCGTGTGCAAGGCAAACGCCTTACCTGCTGTGCTATCGCTCCAGCCCAATAATAATAATAATAAATAGCAATAAAAATAATAATAATTAATGCCAGAGACATAGGGCAGTGTATTGAGCCTCCTGAGCCCTGCATGCCGGAGGCCTGGGGCCATCTCCAGCACTACATGGTCCCTGAGCACTGCTAGGAGAGGAACCAGCACAGAACCAGGATGAGCCCATGAAAATCTCCAGATGTAGCACCCCAAACCCTGTACTCACACACACACACACACACACGCACACACACACACACACACACACAAAATAAAACACCAAAGAATGAAGACCAAAACAGCTCTTGGTCGCCTGCTGGCTCTCCTGGTGAAACAGGACATTGCCGAGTGTGGCTGGACGTCAGAGCTGCCCTCCCTGGACCCCGTGACACTTCCTCCTGGTGCGTCATGGCAGGGGCAGCTGCCTGCCAGGTGCAGGCTGAGCCAAGCGCCTCCCGAGCGTCATTTCAGCCCCACAAGCAGCCTATTGTCATTACCCACTTTTCTCTTTTTTTTCCTTTTTGGTTTTTGGGCCACGCCTGGGCTTACTCCTGGCTCTACACTCAGGGATCAGGGGACCATGTAGGGGACCAGGGATGGAGCCCAGGTCGGCCATGTGCCAGGCAAGCGCCCTACCCACCATACTACCGCTCTCCCTGTTACCCCTTTCTTCAATCGAGGACGTGGAGGCTTCTTAGCAGCGGAGCTGGACCTTTTTGTGCATATTTGGGGCTGTCCAGTAGCACTGGGGGCTACTCAGAGCTCAGTGCCAGAAAATACAGGAGGCCCTTTGGCAGGGAGGGGGCCCAGGGGTGCTAGCAGCTGTGTCTTCCTCCCGGGGGAAGGGTTTCGTGCCTTCTGAGAAATCCAGGTTCCCACAGAAGCAAGGCTGAGTCTTGTGTCTGTCCGCTACAAGGTCTCCCTTCTGCCTCTTCCCTCAGCTTCTGCACCCCCACTCTCCCAGCCCCTGCTTCAGGAGGTTTGTCTCTTCGCCCCAGCCTCAGGGGGTGCTCCCGCCCCCACCCCAATTCTTCACATTCCCATCCAAGTGCCTGCTCGCACCCCATCTGCGCCTGATTCTTTCTCCAGCGACTATTCACTGTGAGTCTCTTCACCCCTTCTGACCCCACACCCTCCCGTGAGGCAGGAACAAAGCTCTCTGGCCCGGCTGTCCCCCTCAGCCCCGGCTCTCGAGCATTGGAGGGTCCTGAGGCCCTTCTGTCTCCCAGGCAGCTCAACCTAATCTTTTGGGCTCCAGTCCAGAGGGCCGTGGCGCCCATGGCCAATCGCCCAGGGATCTCCTGAGTAGATGATTAACTCCAGGCCCATGACCCTGGGGCCACTGTGTGGCCACCATTTCTCTGGGGACAAGCCCTGCTCTCTGGAGACAAGTGGGGGTGCCTGGGGTCAATACCCCCACACACCCCGCCAAGACACAGCATCCCTGGGGGTCTGCAACTTCCAGCCTGATTTTTCACTTTGTTTCCAGAGCTGGTGTTGTCCAGGCCTGGGGCAAGACATCTAGGGGCCAGCCCAGCCTTTCATCCCCAGCCCCTCAAAGGCCTTCACCCAGCAAGGGCCTTGGCCCAGCGCTGCAGAAACTGGTGTGAAGGGCGAGGTTTCCTGCCGTGGGCCCTTCTGACTGCCCCCTGGGTGGGCCAGAGTGACAATGACCTGGGTAGGTAAGGGGACAAGATGGATCACTGGGAGTCCCAGCCACAGCACATGAGGGGAGACAACACAGTGCAGTTTGCAAATGTCGAGACCCACACATCCACTGAGTTGTCCCGGACACAGGTGTGCAGAGACAGGTATGCGGAGAGACAGGTGTGCAGTGAGCTGCTGTGTGCACACACGGGTGTGCAGAGACGGGTGTGTGGACAGATAGGTTGAGTGAACTGCACGGTGCACACACAGGTGTGCAGAGATGGGTGTGTGGAGAGATAGATGTGCAGTGAGCTGCAGGATGCACACACAGGTGTGCAGAGAAACGTATGTGTATGGCCTGTGCAAGCACATTTGCATTAGAAACTGAACACACTTACAGAAGCTCCCAGGAAGGAAGGAAGGAAGGAAGGAAGGAAGGAAGGAAGGAAGGAAGGAAGGAAGGGAAGGAAGGGAGGGAGGGAGGGAGGGAGGAAGGAAGGAAGGAAGGAAGGAAGGAAGGAAGTAAGGAAGGAGAGGAAGGAAGGAAGGAAGGGAGGAAGAAGGAGGGAGGGAGGGAGGGAGGGAGGGAGGGAGGGAGGGAGGGAGGGAGGGAGGGAGGAAAAGGTGTCATTCTGAGCAAGCAGGAGACCTAGTTGCGTTGGGCTGAGATGGAGAAGAGACTCGGAAAGTGAAGCAGATTCACCTGCCGTGGGGCTCAGGCAGGGCTGGAGGGGGCGGTTTCAGGGCCCCTGGTTGGGAGATGCCATTTCTATATCTTGGCAAATTCTGAGAGACCCCTGGGCAGCTTGAGACACATTCTGGGCTTCCAAAGAGAGGGTTGAATTGAGAGACTGGGAAGCAGGCCCAATGAGCTGAAATGGGGGCTGGAGACACAGTACAAGGGGTAGGGTGCTTGCTTTGCTTGTGGCCGGCCTGAGTTTGATCCCCTCTGAGCCCCCCATATGGTCCCCTGAGCCTTCCAGGTAGGATCTCTGAGTGCAGAGCCAGGAGTAAGCCCTGATCACCGCTGGATGTGATCCAAAAACCAAAACCCGAGGGGGCCGGAGTGATAGCACAGCAGGTAGGGTGTTTGCCTTGCATGTGGCCATCCAGGATTCAATCCCCGGCATCCATAGGGTCTCCTGAGTCCTTCCAGGTATGATCCCTGAGTTCAGAGCAAAACTAAACCCTGAGCACTGCCGGGTCTACCTCCCCCCACAAAAACAAAAACAAAAACCCACCAGAAAAAGGACTGCAGTGCAGGTTTTGCGTGAGGGAGTCCCAGGTTCGATTATCAGCACTGCTCAGTCGCTCAAGATCTGAGTCAGAAGTAACCCTGTACCCCGACTCAGCACTGGCTGGATTGAGTGCAGGCAGCTGTGGTGATCCCTGAGCACACCCCTGTGACATTTTCAAAAAAAAAAGAAACAGCCATGAGTTCCCATCTGTGCAAGTGTCCAGCTTGATATACTGTAAATACTTAACAAAAACTAGTTTTCTTTTTTCTAGATACATTTTCCCTCCAAGGCATAAACAGGTGAAACATTAAACACTCCACAAATACTCTGCAAAGTAAAGGAGGCAATCCTTTGATGTGTGAATTTAGGATTTTCTGCATTAGGAGAAATAGTGCAGGACTTTGCAAGAACGGTCAGGAATTCAAGCCTCGGGCTTCCTCCACACCTGCGGTGAGATGCTGGCCCCCACCTGGAAGCTCCCGGGCCAGCACCCCCTGCACAGCCAGCCATTTCTAGCAGTACTGCAGCCGAGTAAACCGAGTATGTGTGAGCACCACAGAGAAGGGTCTGTCTGATGCATCGCAACTATGAAAGAAGCGCAAGGGGGCGGGAGTCATAGTACAGCCGGGAGGACGTTTGCCTTGCATGGGGCAGACCTGGCTTTGATCTCCCGGCATCCCACATGGTCCCCCAGCACTCCTGGAATGATTCCTGAGTTCAGAGCCAGGAATAACCCTGGAGGATCACCGGGTGTGTGCCTCTAACACCCCATCCCCCAAATAAATAAATAAAAACTCCAGCACGGGGGCCAGAAAGTGAAGCCTGGTGGG